AGCACAGGGAGCATTGGGGAAGAGTGGGGAGGTCTGAAGGACCCAGAGGGTAACAAGTGCTCCACAAGAAGACCAGCAGAGTCAACCAACCTGGGCCCAGGGGTGCTCATGAAGACTGATGCATCAACCAAGGCCCATGCATGGGCTAGACTTAGACCCCTTAGATATATGTATCCCATGGGCAGCTTGGTCTTCATGTGGGTTCCCTAGTAAGGGGAGAGGGGCTTTCTTTTACATGGACCCTGTTGCTTGCTTCTAGATAACTTTTTCCTGATGGGGCTGCCTTGCCTGGCCACAGGTGAAGAGGATGTGCTCAATCCTGATGTTTCTTGATATGCTGGGGTGGGTTGGTGGCAGGGGCTCCCTTTGTATGGGAAGTGGGATAGGGGAAAGAGGGAGGGAGGGTAGAACTCAGAGGAGAGGATGAGGGAGCTAGGATCAGGATGTAAAGTCAATAAATAAATAAATAAAATTTGCTGTACAATCATGAGAGCTAGAATTTACATTCCAGAGCTAGGTAGCCTTCAAATGCCTGAAAATAAAAGTCTGGGGATCCAAAGTCCTCTTCTGGCTTACACACGTGCGTGCGCACACACACACACACACACACACACACACATTGTAACAAAAAGAGGTGTAGGAGATGAAAGAGGAGATAATAGCAAAACTCTAAAGGAAAATAATTTCTACAACTATAAAATAAGTGCAGAAAGAAAAAGAGAATATTAAAATAACAATCTGCGTTAAAGTGCACATAACTGCAAGAAGAAAATGGCTTCATTTTATTTAGGCAATGTAGCTCATTCCAGTAAATTGAAGAAAATTGCAAATTCAGGCATTCATTCATTCAGCAGATACATAGAAGAAACAATTTTCATACTTTCTTCTAACTGGGTCATTCAAGGGGTCTAAGAAATATACATACAGTTTTATAGGCTCAACGTTCGTTTAAACAAATAAAATCACCTTAAATAGCTTAGTGTTTTGAAATAGGCACTAAATAAATACTTGGCACGCTATTCCAAAAAGTTACTAGAAATACTTGACTATGTTTGTACATAAGAAATTACTTGCTGCGCTGTGCAACTGAAGGCCAGACAAGGTGTAAACAAGAACTGGCTCTGAACGAGAGCATAAAGATGGCATCTTTAGAATTTCAACGGTACATTAGAAGCTCTTTGCTGTAAACACTAATTAGCAAGCACCATTCTAGAGACAGAATTGATATTTCCTCTGCAACCATTTTCTGCTGAATTTTCTCTTTTTTAACTATATGTTCAGAGAAGCATCATTTGAAGTGATTATCATGCACATAGAAGCGGTTTAGGTAATCAGAATGTGATCATAGCCGGAGGTAGCTTGTCCCCAAATGCCTTACAGTTGGAGACCAAAATAATAATAATAATAATAATAATAATAATAATAATAATAAGTGTATTCTTTTTTGTTTGACTCAGTTGAAATGTGTCTCTCTTCATCTAAGGTTTTTACAGTGCAGCTGAATTTTTAGAACCTTTTTTATCGTTATTGCTATTGCAGGTGTGTTGGAGAACACAGAACGTACCTACATCAAGAAAAAGAGTAACTACTGCAGTAGCTATGGCAATGGTTCTTAATCTCTTGGGAGGAAGGGAGTTCAAAGCCTGACACCAACACTCAACAGTGTTGGTACAGAGGAAAAGGGAGTAGCAAGCATGGTGCTGAAAGCCCACCCTGGTAATTCTCAGGGATATCCTTCTTGGCTACAGAATATGTATTGGGGGGAGGGTAAATGAGATGACAAGGAAGAAGGAACAAGCAATGATGTGAAGAAGTTCAGGTGTATGGGGTGTATAGTGATCTACCCCTCAATGCCCCAACTTTCCTACTTTGTTGACTCTACTTCCTTTTCTTTATCCCATGCCTGCTCACAATGGCCACTGCCAATAGGATGCTGTTCCAGTTTCATTTCTGTTGTCATGATAAAAGAGCCTGACCAAAAGCAACTTAGGAAAGGAAAGGAAAGGAAAGGAAAGGAAAGGAAAGGAAAGGAAAGGGTTTATTTGGTTTTCAATCCCAGGTTATGGGACTAAGGCACCAGATAGACACTCATGAACAGAAAGAGAATACGCAAATGGATCCTTGCCTGCTTATACTCAAGCCAACGTTCATCACTTTCACACAGTTCAGGCCCCGCTTAGGGAATGACACCACCCACGGTGGGTGAAGTCAACCAGAAAGACGATCCTCCAGGCACCTGGTCACAAGCCAACAGAGCTGGATGGTTCCTCACTGGAGGACTTGAGGTGATTTTCAATTGTACCAAGTTGAAAAAACTAACCAGCAGAGGTGGTTATTGAGATGAATGAAACTAATCTCTGCCCAGGGCTCTTGCAGCTGAAACTGAATTGTGATAGTTAACTGCATACATTACCTGCCTTTGAAATTAAAGGGGTTGACAATCACATCAAAATAGGAAGAAACTGTGAAGCAACTGTCCTACCCTATATGCTCACAACAACTCCACTTTAAAAGCATGTCTTAAGGTGGGATAAAATGACTAAAATTCACTACGGAAATGTACGAAACTGGCAAACATGAAAAAGAATTAATGTCTGTTCATTCTAAAACGGTTTCTGTTGACTTCCAACTTCCTGAATTTGAATATGTAATATTCAAATAGAAAACTTCAGCTGGGTAAGTTAAATTTATCTGAAAGCATCTGAGGTTATTTTCTAGTACAAACTGTGTGTGTGTGTGTGTGTGTGTGTGTGTGTGTGTGTGTGTGTGTGTGCATACACAGTACATGCATGCAGGAGAATATGTGTGAGTGCATATGCACTTCCACACATGCGTGTAGAGGCCAGAAGACAACCTCGGGTGTCATTTCACAGGTGTTGTCCATCTTGCACTTTTTTTTTTTTTTTTTTGAGATAGGAATTTATCATTGGGACCTGGAGTCCATCAGTTTGGCTAGGCTGGCTGGCCAGCAAGCCCCAGGCAGCTACCTTTCTCCACATCCCCAGTGCTAGGACCATCTTGCCTGGCTTTTTTAGTTCTGCAGATCAAATGCAGATCCTCACACTTGTACACAAATTACTTTTCCAACTAAGCCATCTCCTCATCCTCAGAAGAAATGCTGGAGGAAAGAAGGAACAATAGGAAGAAAACTACAGGCCAGTAATCAAAGGCTCTCTGACAGGCCCAAGCGTGACAAGCATGGTCTTGCCTCCTCTCTTCCCTCTCCCTCGCTAAACCATCACATTCCTAAAGCTAGCCCCCTAAGTCTATTCCTTTATTTGGCCACTTCCTTAAACCTGGTTAAAACACCAAGCCAGATAGCAAAACAAAATGTGCAGCAATCAAAATTCATTATTTGGCTACACTGGCTAACAGGTCCAATTGGGACGTGCCAACTCACCCCTTTTCCTCCTTTAAAAACCAATCCTGCAGAAACACCTGCTGCTGCCTTTGCCCCATCCAGAGGCACTCCCACCCCACCCCCACCCCTACCTCCCAGCTTGCCACTCTGGGTAATAAATCTCCTTTATGCTGACAATTTGGTGCCTGCGTGTCTTCCCCAGGAAACAGTCATTTTCTCCCTAAAGAGGCAGGACTGCGATTCATGACAAGTATTTTATCAGGGCATTGGTGGGGGTGATTGACCGCAGCACAGTCCACAGGTGAACAAATGCACAGCAGCAGGCCTTTGCTGACCAACCGCCCCTAGCAGAAGGAGGAGGAGAGTCGTGTGTCCTGGGAAAGCTGGTTTTGCAAGGCTGCAGCTTCAGCTCTGCTGGGGCTTCTCTCAGGAATGCACACTGCTGGTGAGTTTGGAGTTTAGAATCTGCCCCCCCCCCCCGCCACGCTTCTCTATCCTTATCTCTGTCTATTCATTGCATCTTCTAGTTGATGCTCTAATACCAAACCGCTCTCGAACTTCCTGCTTCCATTGTACACATACAATCTCAAGTGTGTACGTCTACTGCTACCCCTCCCCCATCCTTCAAGGAGGGACTCAGGGCTGCTTTTCTCCAGAAAGCATCTCCTCTCTCCTTCCTCCTTCAGGTAAGTCAGTCAACATGACCATCTTCTAAGTCCCTGACTTCCACACGCTTGCCTCTGACTCCTCAACACAGCCTGTTGACTGGCAGAAAGCAGCTGTACCATCCCTGAGCTGAGCTGGATGAGCGGTACGCACGAGCTCACCCAGTGGGTAACATGTGCTGAGAGTCCTAATGAGGCTTCATGGTCCTCCTCACGCGGACCTGCGATGGGAACCCAAAGTATAAGGACGTTGGAATCAGCCATAGCAACAACCAGCGGGTAAGAACCGTTTGGAAAAGGGCCGAGATGACTCACCAAATGAACCCGTTTAGGACTGACCTTTTGAAAAGCTCAGGTGACAGGACTCCATAAGGAACTTTCCGTGAGCTGACCAGTGTGTGAGTGGGGAGAGAATATCCGTTACCCACCGGCATCCGTTTCTGGACTATGCGAGAGGTTATATCCAGAAACGCTCACTTAACAGTGTCTATGTGGCTGATTCAATACAATCCACATAGCTAATTTAATGTGGTCGAATTAGAAATAGATTTTATTCTACATATGTCGTATTTTCTTTGTCATTTTAAAACTTAAGAGTTAAAAAAAAAAAAAAAACTACCGTTCAAATACTGTCACTAGTTACTCAAATCTGGTGGACTAAACCGAGTGGAACATTCATTATTTACCTCGACGTCTGGGCAAGTGCAAGAAATGCAACAAGTTTCGGGAACATAGAGACGTTTTGTTGGAGAACAAGAACTTCTGCCCTTGGCCCCCTGAGTTCCCGAGTTTGGCCCAGGCTTTGGTGCAGTCGGGAGAGCATCCTCGGGATCCTGGCTGGAGAAGGCTCGGTGTAGTTTCCAGGACGTTCCAGAGGGGGCGCGCCTGCGAAGCCGACGCTCAGGGGCGCGTTCCTCCGAGAGCGCCGGGGCGCGCGCCCGAGCCCACGTGACCGGGTCTCGGGGCCGCGCCGGGGCGCAATGGCGGCCGCCGGGTCAGGTCCGGGTTCTGACCCCGCCGCTGGCGCCCGGTTCTTCTGCACCGCGGGCCGCGGCCTGGAGCCGTTCCTGATGCGGGAGGTGCGCGCGCGGCTGGAGGCCACGCAGGTGAGTCAGGCTCGCCGTGTTGGGGAGGCCGCGTCCCGTCGGGTCCCGGAGCCCTGGATCCCCCTCGCCTCCAGTTTGGGGGCTCAGGCCCGGGAAGGACGAGTGAGCACACGGCACTCCATCCCTGCGGGCCATGGGCCTCACTCAGATCCTACGGTGTCAGCACCCAGATGGTTGGTGCTTTCGTTCTCTATCCAGCCTGGTCACCGCACGTCTGTCCCCGCCAAAGTTTTAAACAGAAGCGTGTGCGAAAGCCAGGTTCGTCCTGGCTTCCCCACGTCCCAACCCCCCCCCAAAAGAAACCATGAAATGGCAGTATCTGGAGTTAGAATCCTTCCTTTATACCTTAAATGCATATATTCTTTACAGGCCCAGTTGTTTGAGTCTTGTTACTTTCTTGACGAAGTTGAGTTTTACTTTGTGGGTTTTGTGCGGTGCCTTTTGCTCCAGACTTTAGATACTGAACCTCTGTTTATGGCAGTGGTTCTCACCCGTCCTATGCTGTGATCCCTTAATTCAGTTCCTCATTTGTGGTGACCCCCGGGGGCAAATTGTTAGGGGTTTTTTTTATGTTTTTTTTTATTATTAATTACAGTTTATTCACTTTGTATCTCAGCTGCAGCCCTCCTTCAACCCCTCCCAATCCCACCGTCTTCCTAATCTCCTCCAATGCCCCTTCCCCAGTCCACTGATATGGGGGTTGGTCCTCCTCCCCTTCCCTCTGACCCTAGACTATCAGGTCTCATCAGGACTGGCTGCATTGTCTTCCTCTGTGGCCTGGCAAGGCTGCTCCCCCCTAAGGGGAGGAGATCAAAGACCAGGCCACTGAGTTCATGTCAGAGACAGTCCCTGTTCCCTTTATTAGGGTACCCACTTGGAGACTGAGTTGCCATGGGCTACATCTGTGCAGGTGTTCTAGGTTATCTCCATGAATGGTCCTGGGTTGGAGTATCAGTCTCAGAAAAGATTCCTGGGCCCAGATTTTTTGGTTCTGTTGCTCTCCTTGTGGAGTTCCTATCAACCTCCAGGTCTTTCTATCTCCCCCTTCTTGCATAAGATTCCCTGCACTCTGCCCAAAGTTTGGCTATGAGTCTCAGCATCTGCTTTGATACCCTGCTGGATAGATTCTTTCAGAGGCCCTCTGTGGTTGACTTCTGTCCTGTTCCCTGTTCTCTACCTCTTCCAATGTCCTTCTGTTTGCCTTTCTGAGTGAGGATTGAGCATCTTATCCGGGGTCCTCCTTCTTGCTTAGCTTCCTTAGGTGTACGGATTTTAGTATGATTATCCTATATTATAGGTCTAATATCCACTTAAAAGTGAGTATATACCCTGTGTGTCTTTCTGCTTCTGGGATGAAGCAGATGATGATCAGGACAATCTTTTCTAGATCTCACCATTGGCCTGCAAATTTCATGATTTCCTTGTTTTTAATTGCTGGGTAGTATTCCATTGTGTAAATGTACCACAAATTCTGTATCCATTCCTCTATTGAGGAACATCCGGGTTGTGTCCAGATTCTGGCTATTATGAATGAAGCTGCTACGAACATGGTTGAGCAGGCAAATTGGCTTTTTGTTGCTGCTTCATAACTGTAATTTTGCTGTTGTTAAGAATCACAATGTAAATATCTGTGTTTTCCGGTGGTCTTAGGTGACCCCTGTGAAAGTGTCATTTGAACCCACCCCCTGAAGGGGTCACACCCCACAGGTTGAGAACTGGCTGCTGATTTATAGCTCTTGGGCCTGGAGTATCAGGACCCTGAGGCCTTGGCTGTGGCTCCTGTTACAGCAATTGGGCTGAGAACCTTGGCCTTTAAGGTTGGCAACCCTCTAAATTCTTCTAGCAACCAGGGCCCACCATTTCTCATCTTCACTTTTTAGAACCCTTGTTCATTTTGCCACTGTTCTCTATCTTTTCTCTCCTGGCTATTCCTTGGGGCCAATGTCCTCTTAATATTACTGCCACCTCTGCTTCTGAAGCTGGCCTTGCCACCTTTTCTGCCATTTTCTCTGTGTCACCAACTCATCCCACCTTAGTGATAAAGATTAAAAATAGACACACAAAAAAAGATCATTTGAAAGAAGCCTTTTATCGGAACTAATTTTGCAAAAATACCAGGTAAGAAGGGTATGTCCCAGCTGGATCAAAAAGTAAGCTAAACAGCTCGCTTTTTACAGCTATAAAGGGATGTAATGAGAATGTATATTTACATGGACCAAATACAGTCGTGCCTACAAATGAAACTAATCATGGCAGGTCCCTCATGCAAGTGATGAACTGTTTGTACCAACCACTCGCCTTTTGCTGGGCTGTCAAGCAAAATGCACCCCCTCTGAATAAGAATAAATGCTGGGTCCGCGGGTCATGTATAGTTTACCAAGACATGTAATATCAAAGGGGACTGGGGGGGGGGGGGTGTCAATGCAAGGTGTTTGAAAAAGCCATAGCTGAACAGGTGTCTTTTTAAATGAATTGTGCTTTTGCAGCAAACAGCTATGATTGCCTTGCACCTTCCTCAGGACCTCCATGGAGGGTCCAGAGTGTCTACATTGGTACTAAGGTAGCCCAGCTATACAGCTGACTGACAGTCCTTACTAAAAGCAGCCAGAGCACTAGAGAAAGGTCTAAAGCACCCAGAGAGTCAAATTTCCCCAGCCCACAACATCTTAGTTTATTTCAAGGAAAAACAAACACTAAGAGGGTATTTGGGGGAAAAAAATTATTTGCAATCATTAATGTCAGCGTTTAACAGTACTGGAACAGTAGACTTACCTTCTACCCCAAGAGGGGTCCCTCTAATCTGCCTCACCTTAATATCTGAGGAGGAGGATTCTAAGACACCTCCCTTTTCCTTGTACAAAAATGCATGATTTCTTGAATCTGTACCCACAGTAGTGGAGTGTTTGCTGATAACTTGCACGCATGAACTCTGTCCAGATGACGGAGGGCACTAATGCTGTGTCCGTTGTTGAACAAATTGTTTAGGAAATAATAATGCCAAGGAAGGAGTCTGTGCATGGTCAGCATAGACCAAGGTAGACTTCCCAACTATTTTTTGGGACTCACCGAATCCACCAAGGGGTCTTCTGCAGGCACAGGTGTAGTGTGGGGACCTCCCCTGCAGCACTGAGTGAGGCCTGTGTCCATGGTGAAGAACAAACATTCAGCGCTTACACTGTTCTTCAGTAGACACGTGATTTCGGATAAATTCTTCAGATTTCGAAGCTTCACTTTTCCTTGGCTGACACTTACTTTCACCGTATCATTCAGCTAAAGGCAGCTAGCACGGAGTGCGTGGCAAACAGTTGGTGCTCCATAAATGCTTTCCTCCAAAATGAGTTGCACAGGGAGACATAAAAATCCTTCTTGTGGTGAAAAGAGTCTCCTAGGGATTTGGGTTTGCTGGAAGAAAATTAATATTCAAACATCTGAATTTATAAAACAAATTAATTCAGAAGTGATTGTTTACTTTTAGAAGGTAATCACTCAATTTCAATCAGTGTTTTCATGATTTTAGTGGATGTTAAGACGCACCAAGGAAGCTTATTGAAGGTGCATATTCCTGGGTGCCAGCCCCAAAAGGTTTTCCTTTCAGCAGTGTGGCTGCTGAGCCCAGGTGTTTGCATGAGCGCGCTCTCCCTTCCCAGGTGACTGCCACTCAGGTAAATCTTCCAGAACAGCTTGCAGCAGATAGCCTCCTGTGTATTCCTTTTAGCTGTTTTCATGGACACAAAAACAAACAGAATAATACTGTGAATTCTCCCTGCTCATCAACCAGCTGTCTTAGACATCAACAGTGAATTCTGCTCCATTCATCCCTCCTGCCACATTTCCAACCCATAATATTCCTAAGCAAATCCCAGGAATCATTTCATCGGCATGTTTACTTCTGTATTTCTAAATTATGATGTTCACAGCAGGTATATAGTGTGATGTAAAGGAGAGGAAGACTTTTTAAAATATGTCACCTTATCATTTACACAGCTAAAAATATCATTCCTTATCATCAAATACCTAATTAGTATTCAAAGTTGAATTTGTTTTATAATATCACTTTTGTTTGTGTAAAAGTAGGGATTTAAATACCATCCACACACTGTGATTGGTTGATATTCTTTTTCATCTGATCTATAAATTTACCTCTATTTCTCTCGGAATTTTCATTTTAAAGTGACTAGGTTGTTTGCCCTTAAGCCAAGCAATCTAAAATAAAAGCTGTGTGCCTCATGTTCAGCTCCTACCTCATTTCCTGTAGGCTTTATTAGTCATCTGTGATTTCTGCTACATTTTCTTCTTTGATGTTATATTTGCATCCCTTTTAAAAAGTTAAGCCATTCTCAGCTCACCAGGGCCAGTTTTCTGACCCTCCGTGGCTATGCTATTGAATGGGGTCACTGATGCCCCATTGAAAGTATACTTGTTTCCCCACACCTTGGTGATACTTCAGGTGCTCCCAAACTACACATCCTGGTGGCTCTTGGATTGGATACAAAGTTACCCTAGTCTAGACTTGCCAGCTGTGGTGGTTTGGATGGGAATGACCCCTTCTAATACTCTTTTATTTGAATGTTTGGTCCCAATTGATCTGTTAAGGAAGAATTAGGAGGTGTAGCCTTGTAAAGGAGCGTGTCACTGGAGATGGGCCTTGAGGTTTCAAAAGCTCATCCCATCCTGTTTCTGTGTGTGTGTGTGTGTGTGTGTGTGTGTGTGTGTGTGTGTGTGTCTGGCTCTCCCACCTTCTCTCTCTGCCCTCATCTTGAGGAAAAGACTTAAGCTCTCAGCTGTTGCTCCAGCATTGTGCCTGCCTGCCTACCTTTCCACCATTGTCCTCATCGTGATGACCCTTGCCAGCCCTCTGAGACTGTAAGCAAGCCCCCAATTAAATGGTTTCTTTTAAAAGTTGCCTTGATTGTGCTGTGTCTTCACAGTGATAGAAAAGTAACTAAGACACCAACATTTCCATGGCAGGGTTTAATGTGTTCCTCTGTGTCTTGATCCTCTGTATTGCCATAAAGGAATACTGCAGATTGAATGTTGTGTAAAGAAGAGAAATGCCCTTTTTACAGTCCTACAGGTTCAGAAGGCCAAGACTGAGGGACTGTATCTATGAGGGTCTTCTTGCCACCTTCTAACATGGCAGACAGTTTCCGGGGAGAAAAAGTTCATCTTTATAACCTTCCATTTCCTCAGAAACATTCATCCACGGCAGAGCTCTGCCTTAGAGAGCTCCGACCTCCCATAATGTGATAATTCTATTTCCAGCACAGGAGTATTGGGGTGCATGGAAGCTCCATCCTCTGCATTTCCAGCAAACTGGGTTCCTGTTAACTTGTGTCTAGAGCTTGGTCAGATTGAAGCTTGCATCTCCATCCCCATGTTCCAGTGGTGATGTAGATGTCTTTAAAGGTATGCGGGTATTTAAAAATAGTTCATACACACTTAGATCACTTTATGTGCAGAAAAACCTCTTTAAAACAATACGTAATGTCTTAAACACTAATTTTTGGTAAGGATCACAGTAGCGTTAGTTACCTTTAAGATAAAATTGAACATTGCAGAGGTGGCGTTGCGCTAGCTAAGCAGAAGCTCCTGTCAATTGGTTCATTGATCTCTGTAAACGCGCACAGCAGAGACTATTAACCCAAGCCTTCAGTAGGCCAACCAGTTTTTCCTTTCTTAATAGTGTCACGACAGTAGGGGATAGCTAAAGCTAAGGGGGTTACTTCATAGTTATTTCTGTGGGATGGAATGCTTGTATATGCATTTTCAAGATTCTGAACTTTTTTCTTTTTTTCTTTCCATTTGATGCCATTTTGAAGATTAAATCTATTTTTAAACTCAGTCGTGAAAAATAAACCAAAACAAACTCAGATACCACCATAACAGATCACTTAGTGCTTCAAAATTCATTCCAGGTCTAAACAGTGTCTGTAGAATTAGAATTTTGGTACATGCCAGTGATAGTATGTTTTGCCTAAATTTAAACATCAACTAATCTTCAGTCCATGAATTTGAAAGGAAAGACAGAAATGCTAATAACTTAGACATGCCAGCTAGGAAGCACTCTTAGTTCGTCTGCAGAGGCATTAGACATTAAGCCAGTTGGTTTAGACACTTCATTTGCATTTGATTCAAAATGGGTGAAACAACTCGTAAACAGCTTTCAAATAACAATATTGAGATGAAAAGTCTAGACTGTCACATTACTCCATAATTTTATAATTGAATATGATCAGTCAGAAGCAATAAATCATGGTCTGAGAGATCCTCCTGGGGAAAGGTGCTTGCTCCCAAGCATGGTGGTCTGAGGTCAGTCTCCAGGACCCCCACGGTGGAAGAAGACAGCTGCCTCCACAAGTTTTTCTCAGACCGCCACGTACGCTATACACTGTGACACACATGTCCCGGAAATACACGTTCACACAAGTAAATAAACATTAAAAGTAGTAGCAGGGCGAGTGGCTGGAGGGATGGCTCAGAGGTCTTAACCCAGTTCAGTCCCCAGCGCCCACACCACACCACACCCACTTTCAGTTTCAAAGGATCCGTGTAGCCTCCATGAGTATCCAAACACGCATGGCATACACATACACGTAAATAACATTTTTAAATGGATAAATTGAAGGTCTAGAGAGATGCTAAGAGTACCATATCGCTCTCACCGAGGATCTGAGTTAGGTTCCCAGAGCCACATCACACAGTTGACAGTTGCCTGTAACTTCAACTCCAGGAGACTCCGACATCTATGACATCTCACGTCAGCCAGACACACGTGTGCTTATCTACATAGGTACACATAATACAGATAATAAAAATAAATCTTACCCCCAAAGCAATGCAAAAAAGCTGGAGGAAAAGGGAAATACTAGTGTTAGCAGGTGATGATGTCTTAAATACGAAACTTCATTTTGCCTCCTCCTTTGAGATAATGCTAATATTCCCAAAGAGAAAATCGCTTGTATTCATATATGTAACTATGTGATTCTCACAGTGACTAAATTAGGAAGCTACTTTTGATGATGTGCCTTTACTAGTAAGCCTTATGTCAATTCTAATGACAGTAACACTGACTTGGGTTTTGGAAATGGATTTGGTATTTTAATTAATCTCTCTTTTTAAAATGTGTATCAGTGTTTTGCTGCATGTGACTGTATCATATTCATGCACTTAGATGCCAAAACGACATCAGATGCCTTGGAACTGGAGTTACAGATTGTTGTAAGCAGTCGTTTGGGTGTTAGGAACCAGGTCCTTTGCAAAAACAGCAAGTGCTCCTGACCACTGAGCCATCCATCTCTTCTGTTCCTATTGCTTAGTCTTAAAACCATTCATCTTCATAAAGTACTTTTGTTTTGTTTTGTTTTTTTGGTGGGAGAGATCTTGGCAAGGATTTTAAGTTGTACAATGACCTCTTTTAAAAATAAGATTTATTTTATCTTATGTGTATTGGTGTTTTCCCTGCATGTGTGTCTTTGTACCTTGTGTGAGCCATATGCTTCCAAAGGTCAGGAAAAAAGCACTGGATCCCTGAAACTGGAACTTAAGTGGTTGTGAGCCCCAGTGCAGGTGCTGGGAATCTAACCCAGATCCTCTAAAGGAGCGGTCAGTGCTCTTACCTGCTGAGTCATCTCTCCAGCCCTTGAATGGTAACTTCGTAAGCATGTGGTTTCAAAAGTTCATTCTGCACGCTTGGTAGAATAGCTGGTACTAGGTAACATACAAAGAAAAGAACTTTTTTGACTCAACATTCTGGTAGGGGAAAGTTGAAATAGCATGGATAGTGTCTCAAATGGCCATGCCATCTGTCACTGTGAGGTGGAGAAGCTATGAGAGCCAGTCTGAAGGAGCTGTCTGCACGAGAGGAATAAGATCTAAGCTTTTCTTTTATAGCAACCTGCTTTTCTGGGAATGAAGTAGCTACTGTTAAGAGACCCAGCAGTAACCAGGTGACCAGCAGTGGTTTCAAGGTTGGTGTGACCCAATCACTGCCTGCTAGGCCAAACCTAAAAGTTCTACCACCTTCCACTGTCACCACAAATGACCCTTCAGAGTACACACTCAACAAAAAGCACCAGGTAGCTTAGGACTGTGTCAGTCAGCCATGACCACTGTGGAAAGTAGCACTCCAAGACAGTCCATACTTCCACACGACATTCAATTCCCTGTGATCAGTTAGTTTCCCACTTCCCTTCCTTCCCAATGTACCACATGCTTCCCAAAGACTGTTTCTGTGTGATGTGTAATGTCTCACTCCTGTCAATTTTCCTGTTCCATGGCCATGTGTCCCATCATTTCTACCTCAGCAATCTGTTTCTCCCTCCAGCATCACATTCCACACCCCGTCTTTTATGCCGCTTCCAAGGTAATTTTTCTGTCAACTAAATCATTGCTGTCATAGTTTTCATCAAAATTCTTTAATGGCTGTCCATTACCATCTGTGGTACTCAGAATTTCATGGCCATATATCAGGCTGGCCTAAGCTGTGCCATCCATCCCCCTGACATGATCAATCAGCATAATTCAGTCAGTGCTGCCAGGACGCTGACAGTTTGCTGCAGCCAGGTCGCTGTTGCTTCTGCACCTGCTCCTCTGTGTTAGAACCCTGCTTCCTGGCTCTTACAGGACTCTTCCCTGGCATTTAAAAAAACGGTGGCTTCCGTATTCAGTGCTAAAGTACTGCGACGCTCATCAGTACAGCTGATATGCAGTTAAACTTTTTCATTTCTTTCTGGATTTAACGTAGAGCTATCTTAGGAGTTTTATATCTTAGTTTATATATCTATTGCATTATTGCTCAGCATTTATTGTAAGTTCCCTGCTAGACATGGAAATATTTAATAAATATCCACCTTGGTCTACACACCTAAGTTGTGCTATGCTTAATACCTTTCTTTTGCCTACTTTTAAGTAGTGGGTGGGGTTTGGTAGTGTAATTACTGAATAGTGTCTTAATATTTTTCTAGTCACATGGGTGTGTGCTTTACAAGAAATAGCATACTCATATGACCACGTGACCTTATGCAGATTATGTAGCCTGCCCTAAATGTCAGTTTCTGAAGTGGAAAATGGGCATGATAAAATCTACCTTAGGGTTGTTAAGTGTTTAAAGGAAAAATACATGTTGGCAGTCCCTTTTACAGAACCTAACCTCAGATAGATGTCCCCAATGATCACAGGGAAAAAGAAAGTGGTCCTTATTCTAACCCAGAGCCACATTAACATATGTTTTTCTGTATCTAGGTTGAATATATTTCAGGAAAAGTATTTTTCACCACCTGTTCAGATTTGACCTTGATGAAGAAGTTAAAGTCAGCAGAGAGACTGTTTTTGTTGATGAAGAAGCAGCCTCCAGTTGCAGTTTCTTCCCTGAACAAAGGTAAAGCATGTTCCCGATGTTTTTACCTGCCCGCAGTTGTGTCTCCATTTTACACTCATAGGTTCACTCATGCTGTGTCATTGTTAGTTACAGTTTTCAGTTCCCTGGTACTGTCACGTGTCTATAGCAGGCTCCATCACTTCTGTGGAACCTGCCGTCTGCCTTCTGGGTTTTACTGTTCATATATTTTCTTTCTAGAGACAAATATGCTCCACTGTATTACTGGATTTTCAAAGCATATAATAACCAGAATACAATTATCCATCACAAGTTGATAAAAACTGTCATCTTATAAATTTTAACTGAGTGCTAGAGTAGGAAAATTACCACATAGCAAAATTTTTCTCTCCTAGAACCTGAAATGTTTTCAACAAACTTATGACTATGTATAAAGGGAGCTTAGGAGACTTCTTAACTATTCCCTAAGTATAAAATTATCTTGTATAAATAATTTCAAGATTGTGGTTAAAGCCATTTAAAAAGTCAGACTCTGCAGGATTCAACACTGCATTAACCTTCACTCTGATTGTTATGTGCATAAGACATCAAAGAATTACAGAAATTTATAAGAAGCTTTTTCAAGAAAAATGAAAGTGACAGAAATCAAGACTCGAAGGGAAAAATGAAAGCAAATCCTGATGGTTTGTGGGGTTAACATAATTTTTTCACAGTCATCCTGGAGCTGTCATCTTGAAGGAACTATAGTGGTAACATTCAGGTTCACTGAGGAGGCTGGCAGCCTTTAGCCAGTAAGTGTCTTGTGTATGTGAAATCTGATTTCATGGAAACTCATTTTAAGATTTATGTTAAATTTTTGTGGTCTTAAATGAAGTGGGTCCAAACTTCAGCTTCTCTGTTTCTGATCTCTTGTTTTTCAGTTTATTCTTGTGTCTAAGCCTTGATTTTTCCCCCTTCTTTTTTTCCTTTTCTTTTCTCCCTCTCCCCTCACCCCCATGGGCAAGGTCACTGTTATCTCAAAGGTCACTCTGCCTTCTAGGTCTGTGCATAAACACACAATCTGAGCCAGTCATGGTGGCACACACATGTGATCCCAGCACTCCAGAGGCAGAGACAGGCAGATCTCTCTGAGTTCAAGGCCAGCTGGGCCTACATAGCAAGGGTGGCCAGGGTGGCAGAGAAACCTTGTCTCAGGGAAGAGAAAAAAAAACAAAAAACAAAAACCTAACAATCTGACTGAGTGTATTAATCACAGGATAAATGACTTCTTTGCTAAGGTAGTACATGGGATTTCTATAAATTCAATAAAACTTAGAACTCTGAATATAAAATTGTGAAATTTATTCTGCTTTATATTCTTAGGGTAAATTATATAAATTCCAAATAAAAGTGAAATTTTGTTCATGTAGCAATTCAGTAAACTATTTTAAAGAAATAAAGGTCATAAAATCTGGGTTGATGAATGTAATAGACACTTGTCTATAAAGCTTGACAATGGGATGAATAAACTGAGGTTTTGTTTATTTAGGAAAAATACTTAATGAAATGCAGAGACTTATAAATGATGATCCAGGAAGTTGGCAGAAGGCCATTTCACTTTGGAAAAAACTTCTCGAACTTGATACAAAAAGAGAAAATCTTCCTCAAAAGGATGCTAACCCACTAAAACGAAAAGCAGGAGAAAATGAAATTATCACTGCTAAGAAATTAAAGCTAGAGGAGACACGGGCGGCTGGCGAGAGTCACAGAGAAGGCCGGCAGGACAGACTACCAGAAGACTCAGCGGAGCAGGGAGATGCTGTTACTAGGAGGGATGAACTCCACCAACAGGGACTCCAGAATGCCGTGGAGAAGGCAGGTGGCGCTCAGAACCAGGAGGACTTGACTTTCAGGGTTTCCTGTCGCTGCAGTGGGAATGTTGGAAAGGCCGTCACTGGACAGGTATGCTCATGGCCCAGGTGGGATCCCACTTCCCAAAAGCACACCTCCTATAGAACAGGTAACACGGCCCAGGCAGAGGATGAGGTCATCTGCCTTCGTGTGATTGACTGTCTTTGAAAGTGTGTTTCCCTCTTGACGTAGCCTCAGGGGCTCCAGAGGAATGGTGTGCTGGTCCACATCATGGCCTTCTTTTGCTTTCTGCACAATGGTTTCCCTAGGTTCATTTGTAAATCCCAATGCTGTGGTCTTAACACATTAGGGGTTCTTCATTATGTTTGTATGCTTACTGGGGACCACCCTGCACTGTGTGATGTTTGTAGGCTTGTCACTGGGACCGAGACCACAGATATACCAGTACACATGAAATCTAACCGTCTAGGGAAGGGAGGACACCCATTTCCATCCCAGGACCTCACTAGTTGGCCCTTGCAAAGCTCAGTAGCACACAGTTCATCTGGATCCTTTAGCCAAACTTAAAATCACACAAACCCAGAGTCTTAATGAAGCTGACCTGGTCATGTATAAACATAGAAGATGATAATAATTAATGCTTAATAATTTAGTGTGTGTTCATTTCCTTTATTAGTAGGAATCACATATCAGGTCATGGTCTTACGTCACACACCTAGACTGCAAGAGTAGAGATTACAAGTAGAAAGTAATCCCAAGGGGTTTGAAAGATGGAGAAAGTAAAATATAGCCCTGTTGCTGTGCATAAGCAATCTGGAGGTATATCAGCTATTACCATCAGGTAATTGGGCTTTTTTTCCCCTCCCAGACTGCTAGTTCTTATCTGTTTTAAAATTTTCTTCTATCTTATGTTCTTGTTTTTCTGTAACTTGCCACTTTTCAGGAGGTAGGAAGAGTGATTGGAATTGCTCTCATGAGGCAGTTTGGATGGAAAGCTGATTTGAGGAATCCCAATTTAGAGGTAACGACTACCCTCTCATTTCTACACAGCAGCAGCAGCTCCTTTCCGTTCTTCTCAGTTCGACTGCAGTTATAAAAAGCCCCAGATTCTTTGACATGGTGGTGTCTTTCCCCACTTCACCTCTCCTTGTTTTCTCCTTCTCTCCTCTAGCTCTGTACACTGTCAAAATTGTCTCACAAAAATATCCTCAGTTTAGCTACTACCCATTGTCTCATGTAGCTAATAATAGCTGTGGTGGGTTAAAGTAATCATACAAAAACATAATTGGTATTATGGCAACGTATAATAAAATGTGTGACTCAAACTGATGAAGAATCAAATCTTATTCTGTAACATTGGTAGGAAATCAGTTTTATAGTGGGAGAAGCTGTTCTTTATTTAGTATGTGAAAATGAGATCAATATATATTAAAATTTGAATAGAATTCTATTAAGTAATTTTGCTAAAATGCATAATCAGACAATTGGAAGGTTCAGCTGTGATGTTTCAGTCAATGGAGGAATTGTCCACATGTGAGACTATTTCATGCAAATCTTAATGAAAATTTTCCATATTGGAATGACTGGTAAATGTGCTAATACTGAACCTGACTGTAAAGGCTGGGGTGTGGCTCAGTGGTAAAGCATTTACCCAATTTGAGTAAAGCCCTGCATTCAGTGTTTAATCTCTAGCAGCAGATTGTGGGAAAGACACTTTGGGTGAAAGTACTAAGGACCATGTGGTTCATCATGTTAGAAATAAATCTCATCACAATATAATAGTAAGAGAAAAATCCCATTTTTTTTAATCTTATGTGGGCTACTAATGATGATGCATTAAATTCTCATCAGGACCTACCAGATGGAAAGGAAAAGGCTTTGTTTTTGTTTTGTTTTGTTTTGTTTTGTTTTGTTTTGTTTTGTTTTGTTTTTGTCAGCTTGGCACAAGCTTGAGTTATTTGGGAAGAGAGACCTCAGTGAAAATGTCTTCATGAGATGGCCTGGGGTGGGGGTGGGGGTCTGTGGGACATGTTTTTAATTAATGATTGATGTGGGAGGGCTTAGCTCACTAGGCATGGCAGTGCCACTCTGGGCAGGTGATCCTCAATTGTACAAGAAAACAAGATGAACAAACCAGTGGAACAAGCCAGTAAGCAGCATTCAGCCGTGGTGTCTGCTTGAGTTTCTGACTCAGTGATAGAGTGTGGCCTGAGCGTTGTAAACTGAGATAAACCCTCTCCCCGGGTGGCATTTGGTATTGGTATTTATTGCAGCAGTAGAAACTTAACTAGACCCTCACCTGCGAATAACAGAGGGGGGGACCAGCTAGAGAAGCTTCCTCTGCCGTAAGCCATCTGTGCCCTGGGGCAGGCATCCCTGCACGGCTGCAAGTCTCACTTGAGGTTGGAGCAGACTGAGGAGGTCCTGGCTGCCGCAGTCTAAAAGCCGGATCCAGGACCTAGGGCCAGACACCAGTGCAGGGAGGGCTGAGTTCGCCACTCTGTGGAGCTGACCCACTACTGGACCTGACTTTCTTTATGAAATGAACGTAAGTTTGGTTCACCTCTAGCTAAGGACAAAAGATAATAGAATTTTTCCAGACATGACAAGTAGGTATTGGCATTTCTTATTAAAATACAGGCCTTATAAACTCAAAACGGAGGCTGCAGATTGTCAGCGACTTGCTGTGATGTTTTCTTGTGCCACCCTAATGTCTGTGTTTGTCCTTTCAGATCTTCGTGCATCTGAGTGATGCTTACTCAGTGGTGGGGATTCCCCTGTTCAGGTAACGGTCGTATGTATAGAGTTAAGAATTTGCTTTTGCTTGTGTAGTCTGGAGTATTGGACAGCAGAGAAGGCAAAGTTGGCTGAGGTCTTTGCTTGGGGGTGGGCCTTGATCTGACCCCTTGATCTTTCTCAGTTAGGGCTGAGAAAGGTTGACCACAGTCATTCATAGATTACAGCATAAATCTTAAAACAATGCCTCGTTATTTCTATTATTAAGTAGTTTACACAGGCCCCTGTATAAGCTAAAATTGTTAGTCTATTGGCATCTTGGCAATGTAATTTTAAAAAAAAAAGCATAGTTGCTTAAATACATATGGAACATTGTCCAGATTTCATTGCCATTATTATTTTATTATAAGTGGTTATTGCTCATTTTAGAAATTATTTCAAAGTGCCTCACTACTTACGCAGAATACTAAGTAAGTTCCATTAAAAAAAAAAAAAAAAAAAAAAAACATATCTACTGAATTCTTTTTGGGCAACAGTTGCTTCTTCTAGGTGTTTTGGGGAGCAAACTGGTAGATGCAAATAGTTCTTGAAAGCATGTAAAGATTAATAGCATTTTAAATGTCTTGTGTGTCTAACTCTGTTCACATAATCTAGGGACTTATCTACCCCTTTCTATTAGTTCTACAGTTGCCTTAAGGGCCTATTTTGTCCATCTTAAATGAGAATTAATTTTAAAATGTTTGAGGTGATTATAATGGCAGTCATGCAGCGGTGAGCTGTGCAGCTCACAAGGCTGAGATGCCACAGATGCCACATGTTAGTCTTCCTGCTTATTGCCAGTCATATGGCAGGCTCTACCACTGTCTCCCCACCACCTGCCTTGGTGGCCTGCTGCTTTCCCCGGGCCACAACTACCTCATTGCCAGCTCTATAGACCAAGCCTTTTTGCTGCGTGCTTCATGGTCTCCAGGCTGCCCTGCTGCAGGGCCCCGAAGGACTTTAAGTCCAGTACTTCTGCCTCTCTGGCTCCTTTAAAACCCCTAATTGCTGACAGAAGAATGAGAAAACTGCAGAACGATTACATCTGTGCTGTGTATTTATTAACGATCACCAAAACAAAGGTAGGAAGGCCATGTAAAACACCTAAAACATAAATTATATATTTTATTTTATGAGAATCCCTATCATAAAGTAAGTCTCAGTTGGTTTCTGTCTCTCTGTGTGCCTCTCCCACTCCCCTCTCTCTTCACCCTATCTCTCTTCCTCATTTCATTGCTGGGAATCAAACCTACAACTTCACACACACATGCAGTTCAGACATTGTATTTCTGAACTACATTCCCAGCCCCCTCCCCAAAAAAGGTGGATCTAGAAACTGACGAGAAAAAGAATATCTCAACCCTTGAGAACTAAATGTAACAGTGATATAATTAGATTCCAATACCAAATAAACCAATATTTTAAATTTTTAATTGTATATAAAACTTATTTTTTATTCAGCACTTATATATTGCTTTATATGTGCTTTTAGTTCATTAAATTTTATTGTTCCAATTTTTTATACTTGTAGAAACACAGGAAGTCATGCATATAGCATTTCCAGTAATGATTGGTAATAAGCTAAAAGTTTAAAAGCACATGTGTACCTGAAAATTAAGCCTGGGAACTGGAGTGTACGACATAAATTAAAAGGTTACAATTGAGATCTTGGGGTAGGTTAAGTTGACTGGCTCGGTGAAAGAAAGTAGTGGTCTCAGAGGAGCGCTCAGCTGAGAGGATGAGCAAAGGGAGCAACATGGTGACCCTAACCATGGGAGAAAGTAGAAAGTTGTGAAACAGCTTGAGATAGCCAGGGTGTCTGATGGCCACATCAAAATATCTTAGTAGTTCCTAAAGAGTTTGCTTGTTTAAAGACAAGAACTGTTTGGATCTTTTGAAGAGCAGTTTGAAGTTTCTAGGGCATTAACCGTACCTACACCAACACAGTCATGGTAGCTCTTCTCTGCTGTAAAATCAAGAAAATTATATTACCTGCTTTATAGCTGTCTTAGTTATCTACTGGTGTGAGAAGACACCCCGCCCAAGGCAACTAACAGAAGAAAGAGCTTATGGGATGTTTGCAGTTTCAGGGTTAGTGTTCATTACCACCATGGTGGGGAGCATAGCTCAGAGCTTACATCTTATCCACAGGTTGGGGGTATAGACAGAGTGGGTCTGGCATGGGCCTTTGAAACCTTAAAAATCAGCCCCAGTGGCACACCTCCTCTAACAAGGCCTCACCTCCCAATCCTCCTAAACAGTTCACCATCTGTGGATCAAGCATTTGTATATATGAGCCTGTGAGAGCTGTTCTCGTTCAAACCACTGAAATAGCTTTGTAATTGGGGTTCAATGAGCCAGCTGGTGTAACTGTGCTTGGTACTGTGTCTAGGATTCAGGGTATGCTGAGTACATGTTAGCTTTTATTTTGAAACTATTCGGCCACTAGTGAGGAAGGGGAACCTTACCAAAGAAGCAGGAATCTGTTCAGTTGGTTTGAGGTGAAACAACTGCGCCTCTTAAGTAAGATGGTTATTAAGTTCAAGAAATCCAGTCTAGGAATAGAGTGACATAAATGCTTGACCAATTAGGAAAGAGTTAAGTAGTGGGTAGCAAGTGGGCAGAGAACCAAAGACACTTGAAAAGCTAGGTGTGATGCCACATACTTGTCATCTAAAGCAGGGTACTCTGGGTACATGAGTTCCAGGACAGCCTAGACTGCATAACTCTACCATGTCACAAGGAAGGAGAAGGAGAGAGAGGAAGACAAGGAGGGGATAGAAAGTGTGAAAGGAAAGAAAGGTGCAAAGGGATTAAATCTGGCCTCTCCGGTGGACAAGAGAAGGAAAAGGTGTAGCAAAATTTCTGTTGGTTTCTTTGTTTCTTTTCTGTGATAAAATACTCTGACAAAAGCGACTTAAGGGAGAACGGGATCCTTTGGCTCCCAACTCCAGGTTAAAGACTACCATGGCAAAGAAACCACATCTCATCCACAGCCAAGAGCAGAGAGCAGTGAATTAATGTGTGTAGTGCTTACCTTGCCCTCCGCATTTATACAGCCCAGGATTCCCTACTAGGAATAGCTGTTTCCACAGTTCCGCTGGGTCTTTCAACATGAGTTCATGTAAACAGAAGGATTCCTCACACTCTCAAAGGCAAACCTAAATCAGACAGCTTTACCTTGATGGAAGACGTTGTGTAAAAGAAAAAAAAGAAGAAATTTATCTGCATGGGAAGAACCAAAACCTGTATTTCCTTTGAACAACTAAATCTAATGTAAAACAAATCCTAAACAAGTAGGTCATTGTTTTTCTTTTCAGGAACTTAAGCTCTGCTTCCCCCTAAGTTCTTCTGTGCTGGTTTTAATGGATCCATTTGTTGGAGTCATAGCAGATCGTGATGCCTCAATTTAAGCAAAATAAGAACACATTGACACTTGACAGATATCGTCAAATTTTTTAGAGTTCCTATATAAATCCCTGCTACTTGGAAGAGGACTGTAAACTTCTCAACTGAAGACCATTTTCCATTGTGGGGTCTCCTCATTGGTACCTATAGGGTAAATCGATATGTTTTATAGCAAGTATTTGCGAAGCTAACTTTGTAGGAGCAAAATCCATTGATCAAAATATTTTGTGGTCTGTCTACTGCCAGTTTACAACCTGGAATTCAAAGTTTTTAATGTGGTACTGTTTATAATATGGACTATTATTTCCTGGAAAAGCTTCAAATAAAAGGCCAGTTCACATGATTTTACCAAGCAGAACCACCTGTTATAACAAGAAGAACTTTCTCCCTCGAAAGTAGTGCATCATCTGGTTGGAAGAATTTAAGAGGCATGTGGTGGCTACAAACAAACAATACTTTAAAGTCAGACAGGTGAGAAATAAAATGTTAAAAAAATCAGCACCTGGATTACATTGAAAGTTTTTAGAAGAGTGCAGAGACTGCTGTGGCTTTTTGTGACAAGCCTCTTCCTGGTTCTAAAATTAACCTACCCTAAAACACACCAGCACAAATTCTTGAAATCATAACTTGTTTATCTTATCCCCAGATTATAGCTACAAAATGATACCTCTTGCTTGTTGCATTAGAAACGCAGAAATGGAGGTTGGGGAGGCAGCTCAGTCTGTAAGATGCTTGTGAGACCCTCATGAGGACCTGACTTCATCCTCAGAACCCTAGGAGGTGTCCGTTTGTCACCCCAGCACTGGAGAGGTAGGGACAGGCAGGTCGCTGCAGGGGTTCAGCAATCCACAGCTAATCAGTAAGCCTTAGGTCCCAGAGAGAAACAAGGTGGGCAGCTTCTGAGGAGCAATGCCCAAGGCTGACCTCTGACCTATATCCACACAGAATAGTAGAAATGATATGATAGTTGACAGTATTTTAACTACTTGGAAGTCTTTCAAGTGTAGAAACCTGGTAGCTAGGATGAGGGATGGGTGTAGGGTGGCCTGACATAGAGACTCATTTATATGCTCCTGCCTCCTTCTGTCCTCCAAGACCTCCAAGAAAGCTGCAGATCAGCAAAAACCAAGCTTATAGAAGAGGCTGTGAATTCCCCATATTGCATCCAGATCACAAAGCCCTGGACAGCGGCTCTGTGTAGAAAGACACGGAAGTGCTAAATAAGAGGTTTCCTTCATGTGCTATTAGGGTTCTGTAACTTGAACATATAGTTTAATTTCAGTTTTCTTTAAAAAAAAAAAAAATGTTATTTTTAAATACCACCTGGTTGGTTAAACAGAGGGTCCAGTGTAGAGGGTATTTAATAATGAGGTTAAAACATCCTATAGTTCAGAAAACATATCTGATTGATGCGTTAAAGTACTCATGGAAAGACAAAATAATCATCTTTCGTATCCCGTTCTTTTGTACATGGTAATGTTTGATACCCATCTGATCTCTTTCTTGCAGAGTTCCTTTAGCCAGCAGAACTTACATCCAGACAGCTGGGCTGCGGTCGACCATAGCGTGGGCCATGGCATCTATTGCGGAAATTAAGGTCAGGGAGATGCCTGCATCCCTCTCAACACCAGCAAGGTCCTGCGTGTTAACTCACACGTGCCCTGCTTCTGACTTGGGGTTTTGTTGTGGTTGTTTCGTCCTCCCCTTTGCTTTTTGTTTTTTGCAGCTGCCATTTGATTTAAAAGCTGTTACAGTTTAAATTTTTTCTTGTTTCTTGCGTTTTGCTTTTATGCATTGAACTTCTATAAGCATTTTGACTGGAAAAGCTGAGGCCAACATGGGATGCATTTTATTATTTCTAATCTTATGAGTCATGATCCCAAAATTTGGCCTGTAGAGTCTACCTACATCTTTAAAAAAAAAAAAAAAATGTTGATTTTCTCTATATCCAAGCTCTTCATCAGTCTGTAAATGCTCCACTGACAATAAGAAAATTGCATTTTCTTATTAAGAAATGTTCTGGGTGATCTCTACTTTCTGTGTTGATGTCTAAAAGCTATTCTAAAACGACCCTGTGTTAGTGTTTGCATCAAGTTTTGGATTTTCTTGATAACACGTTTCTCCTTCTATGTGATTCATTGAGAATTTTTTTTCCTTTTGGTGTGAAGGCACTCTCTATCTGAGTTAGCCAGCTCAGCTCATGTCTTATTGATCATTTCACGCCTTGCTTTTTATTTTTAGGTTCTTTTGTTTTGCCTTCTGTTTCTCTCAGACAGTCCTGAGCACCCTTTGGAGCCGAGGCTGGTCTTGAACTTGTGGCTGTGCATCTGTGTGAGCCGTCCTGTTTTCAGTTTAACACCACACACAACTTCACAACTAGTTTTTATGTTTTCTGTCCCTGTCTCTTTCATCAAAAACATCCAGGAAAAGGCATGGCAGATCCGCTTCCTATCTTCCTCTTCCACTTCCTGTCTTCTCTTTCTGCCTATTGTGTTTTCTTAACTATTTACCTATGCACCGCCCCTGGTATGACCAGTTTCCCTGCTAATGGCTTGGTGTCCTCCCCGAGGCCAGGGATTTTACTTACCGAATGTTCCCTTAAGTTGTTTTGCTCAATCTGACTGATGGCTTTTGTCACTGCTTTTCCCAGCTGCCCCTTCCCGGTCATGAGGAGTGCTTTCTTCCCTTCCCTGTAATGAGGCCTTTGCAACCATCCTGTTCTTCCTCTCCCAGCCCCCAGCTGCTAGGCTGAAGTACATTACTTCCTCTTTATCACAGATTCCTTCAAAGTTGACCTGCTGTTTGAGAATTTTAGTTGGCTCTTTCCTGGCTGTCCTGCCCACCCTGTTACAGCACACTCTCAAAACATATTTAGATAAGGCTGCAAAGATCCCTCCAAGATGGTTGCTGCTTACCTTGTTCTCGTGCCCTTTCCCACCTCACACACAGGCGATGGCTTGGTTAAAGTCTTTTCCTAGCCATCCCCTCGCCTGTGTATTTGACTGTCCCATCCTCTGATATCCCCCTTTCTTCTTGGGGTATCAATCTTGGCTGACAGAGGTTCCTGATTTGAGTTCTCCCCTTTTGGGCTCCTGATGCTCTTCCTGCCTTCTACCTTCTGGTGCTGCCAATGAACGGGCCACACACTGTGGGGTTTATTGGTTCTTTCCAATGCTGGGCTTCTAAGAGTTCTGACCTCAATCCTAAAACTCAGGAATATTGCCAGAGTGTGATGTTTTGTTGTGTGTGTGTCAAATGTATTTCCATTCAAGCCCAGAGTTCCCTAAGTCCACCTGCCTATTCAGTTCTCTCTAGCACATTCTGCCTAAGGACTTTTAGGGATGATAAGTAACAACCCTGCCTCAGTTTCTTGTTTACAAGATGAAAATAGTATGTCATAGATAGAGTAGCCGTTAGGGTCAGAGCCTGGGCCTTAGCAGCTCTGATGGGCCAGGCTTAGCCACCTGTCAATAGGCCAGTTACAAACAGTGCTGAAGAAATGGTTCAGTGGCTGGCCTTCCAGAGGACCAGGATTCCATTCCCAGGACCCACGTGATGAATCACAAACACCTGTACCTCCAGTTTCAGAGAGATTAGTTCCAGGCAACCATCTCTTTTGGCTTCCTCGGGCACCAGACAACACACACAGTGCACAGATATACATGCAGACAAAACATTCATATGTATAAAATGAAATGTTTTTTTTTAATTTAAAAAAATTAGCAAGTAATCATGAATAGTAAAAAAAGAATTCACTAGGGCCACCTTAGGAAAGAAACCTAACAAAAAGGTCCAGTGACCCACCCACCTACAAGTCCATCCCTAATATCCACGTCCTGACAGGATTTAGGTTTAAATAAAGGTCCAGCTTGCATAACTAACTGTTCCTGGTCAAGGTGTTGTCCTGCCCATCATCTGTTATCATCACCTCTGCCCCAGTCTTTCTCCGACAGTGGTCTGACTGTTGTGAGAACTGTGAAATCTTTCAGAAACAAGTTCCTCCTTTGGCTTTTCTTTCTCTCAGCAGAAGTTCCCAAGAGAAGTGTCTTGGGGTCCATTTTCTCCATGATGAGAAGAGAGATCCTCCTTAGAATATCTTCCTTCCTGCTGTGATGGTTACAGTGGATTCAGATCAGGACTAGATGAATCAGTATTAATAAAGCAATTAAACTAGTGGCTATCAAAGGATGAGTTGTTATGACATATGAAATTGTTACTGTTTAATAACAATTACTATCTACTGCTCTTCCTAGCTAAACACTCTTTCTTCCATTATTCAATATCATTGCGCCAGCTGTCTCATGAATTAACTTTAAATTCTTTGTTTTTGACCTCTGAAATTCCTGGTAGAGCATGTTAATTTGCTGGCTCCATCCTCCAACTCATTCTTTCTTTCTCATGTGGTTTCATCTATTCATGTTTTACTTCTCCATTTGAACTGTTCTTCTAAATTTCAAAAATAACAGAGACATGATCTCCCTTATTTCATTTGTTGATTTTCTACCTTAAAAGACATGATTTTTTGTTGTCAACAACTCTGCACATTAGGGCAGATAGAATGTATTGCTCCCTTTAGATGCGCCAGTTTTGGTTTGGTTTGGTTTGGTTTGGTTTGGTTTGGTTTGGTTTGGTTTGGTTTGGTTTGGTTTTGGGGTTTGGAGGAGGGGTGTTTTGGGGTTTGGTTGTTTGATTGGTTGGTTGGTTGGTTGGTTGGTTTGATTTTTTTGGTTACTTGGTTTTGTTTTGTTTTTCTCACTAAGGCCAAGGTGTGTTACCAGTGGATATTTGAATGCCCCGAATAAATGGTAAAAGGCAAACAGATCTCTGTATCAACAGTGCACAGACTCTGTCAGCCCTGAGATGTCTGAGGGAAAGGCAGCTGTCCTCTACTCTCCTTCCAGGCTGCTAGCTCTCTGAAGAGAAGATCCCACCTGGCGCCACTGCTGTTCTTGTCACTAAGCCTAGGCAACGTGGCCCCCTACCGGCTCCATCTTGGGGGGTCTCAGTGGGAACAGGTTTCTCTGAGCACTAGAGCCCTGAAGTCTGAGCATCAGCTGGACTAGGGATCTGGCCCCCATGCTAGTCTTTAAACAGTTATCCCAATTTATTTTGGTATAAGACTAGAGATATGATTCCGATCAGTTCTTTCCTACACACTCAGCAATTCCAAGTTTGCATTTAGGTGTAAGTTTTTGTTACCACAGACAAATCTGAACTTTTACATTTGTCTTGATATAGATATATGTTTGGTACCAGGATGCAGGCTTTCTTGCCTGAAGGATATTTCACTTCTTTCCTTCAGGTACCATCTGGTTCTGACACCTGGCTGTGCCCTGAGGACCCTGCTTCCTCTGTAGACAGGTCCAGTGCTGGATGTTTTTCTCCCATATCCAAGTACTACTCAACCTGAAGTGGGGTAGGTTCTGCTTGCTCCTCACTGGTCATTGGTCCCTTCCTTCTGCCCTTGAAGCATGTGTAGTTAGATTATGCCAGTCAAGTACAGACCTCTCTCCCTGTCACACTTGTTACAGTATAAGCCTTTAGTCCTGTCTGGTTCTTAATGCTCTCATAGCCAGGCGAGAGCCTGCTCTTGGTTTCTCAGCTCCTCTCCCTCTCATGATCTGCCCTAGTCCCATTCCAGACCATGTCAAATCCAGAAGAGTATGACTTCTGAATGTCTCCATTTGAAGAATCCTGTTCTTCCCCAAGTGTGGAAATGTGCATCTATAGTCTCAGCTACTTGGGAAGTTGAGGCAGGAGCATCACAAGAGTTAGGGAGTTTGAGACAGCCTCAGTAACATTGCAAGGCCCTGTCTCTCAAAAAGGAAGAACTCTGCTCTCATACAATAGTTTTATCTACATGGGAAACTGAGGCAAGAGCATCATAAAAGCCCAGGAGTTTGAAGACATCCTTGGTAACATTGCAAGGCTTTGTCTCTTAAGAAAAGGATTCTGCTCTCTTACAATAGTTGATTTTGGTTCTATACTTTCAGTTCTCTCCCTTCTTGTTTGACTTGAATACTAGACGCAGAACTATCAGCTTGCAGTACTCTGCATCCACATAGCTTTTATTGCCTTTTGTCCTGCAGTGCTGAATTCTCTGCTCTACCCCAGAACTGGGGACTGGAGTCAGCTTCCTCCTTCATACTTTAGGACTTTTTCCCTCTAAAGGGCCATTGCCATCACCCTATCCACTATTATCCACTATTCTAATATCTTGAAACTTGAAAAAAAAAAAAAAAAAAAAGACCAAAATGAAATAAAATAAAATCCTCTAGTAAGTCCAAGGTCCCTTTCTCTACTTCCTAAAACAAACAAACAAACAAACAAACAAAACTGTTGGAAAAAGCTGACATGCTGCCTCTGGTTCCTTCCCATCCTCTCCTTACCTGCTTCCTTCATGAAGACCTCGATGAACCTGCCCACTGTCCTTTTCACACTTGATGCTGTGGCACTTTCCCTGAAACCCATTTCTCTGCTGCTTAGGAACCACTCTGTTTCTCCTCCTGAAACAGACACTCCAGCAAGCATGACTCAGCCTGTCTGCCCGACATCTGCATTTAGGGCACTAACGTTGCTTCCCGAATGATTGCCCAGTTCTCATGCTTTAAGTACGACGTCTCAGCTGACTCACATTGACTGTTCCCAATTTATATCTTTAGCCTGAACGTTGAGCTCTAGATTCATCCACTCCTCTGCTCCAAGAGGGCTAAGAGGTATTGCAAATGAGTGTGTCAAAATATTTTCCTGATTCCCTCCACAACTCTGCCTCCACCAGTAACAGACAGCTCTTCTGCTGGTCAGGCAAAAATTTACTCATTCCAGCCTAGTGACTTTCTTTAATAGTCCGCACCCGAACTTTCCTTTGGCTCCACCTTCTGAAACATAACCAGAGTCCAACTACTTCTTCCAGTATCGCTCTTAATCTCTCTTAGCTGGACTCCATCATGAGCCTGTGTGGTTCATGCTTCAGAGCAGCCATGGTGATCCCCGCCATCTGCAATGACATGTGACTTCTGTGATCACACCCTGTTGTCCTTGGGCCATAGAACCAGAATCCTTAGGGTACTGCCAAGATCTAAAAGGATGTTTTGCCCAAAATGGGACTAATTAGGTTTTCTCTCTGAATTTTTATTTTCCTTCAAACACAAATAGTATCAAATTGTCCTGACTCCTTGAGGCTGTGTGTACCAAGGGACTGACATGGCTTAACCAGCCTGATGGTGTAGGAATTCATGAATGACATCCCGATGATACCATTCAGAGCAGTGCACAACTTGTCCTGACTTCCCTCTGTCGGCTGTGGTGAGGGTGACTCTTCATTAGCCTGGCTTCCAGAAAGAATAAAGTCCCAGGTGCCCTGCTTTGGGCGGGCCAGGCATGAAGTGTGGGCTGCATATTGTGGGAGACCTCTGAGGTCGGTCCGGCCTCATACAGGCGTGGCGTCCCCTGCTGCCTCTCCACTGTTTCCATTGCCTTGGCCCCCACTGTTCCTTGAGCACCCTGGGCTTCCTCCTGCCTCGAACCCTGGCAAATACAGTCTTGTCTTGGGACTTGAGCTGTCTGAGGTTCTCCTGGAATATAAGAAGGAATCTTGACTCCTGAAATGATTTCCCAGGTTTTGGCTTTTTTTATAGTAAATGTATTACAGCAGACTTAGTAATCAGTTTCTATTTCTGTGTAGGCTGGAGCGCTGGTTCTAGATCCAATGTGTGGCCTTGGGACCATACTTGTGGAAGCTGCTGAAGAGTGGCCAGTAAGTTGCAAAGTTTGGTCTAAATCAAGTTATGTATTTATTTTAATAATTACAGTCACCAACTTTTTATAAGTAGATAGTCTAGTTTTGGATTATTGTTTACGATAATTATAATAGAGTTTGAAGAGTTGATTAAATTTCTATATTATTTCTTTAATTGCTATGAAGAATTTAAGAAAATATGATAAGATTATGATAATTATTCATACCTATCGTATACTAATATCCAGAGTCTTTAAGTATCTCTAATGGCAAAATATTAACAGACCTTAAAATTTACTATTGTGTATTTTGGGTGAATAAAGCTTTAAATTCATTTTAACTTAAAATGAGAATCTAATACAAGTCGATTTTATTAAATACTGAATATCTAATGGATTTGGTTTTTTACATAAAATTTGGCTTTCCTTCCCATAGGATGTCTACTACATGGGTGCTGACGTCAGCGACTCGCAGTTACTTGGAGCATGTGACAATCTGAAGACTGCAGGCCTCGCAGACAGGATTGAGTTACTCAAGGTCTCTGTTACAGGTAAGGTGGTAAACACAGAAGGAGTCAGTGTGTGCGTGTGCGCGCGCACGCGCGTGCACATGGATTGGGTTGCTTGTGTCTGTGGAATGTCTGTGGGGCTAACGTGCGCTTCGCTTCCACTACTGTAGTTGTTGGATGTTTTTCAAGATATTCCTGCTTGGGAAGTGATGTTTATGTAGCTTCCATAGCACTTAAGCTGGGACCCACCTTCTGACAATGTGTTACAACTGAATCATTGTCATCTCATGACCTAGGATGGAATGATTACAACTGTAACATAAAGAGAATATTAGATGGAGAAGAAATTACCCGAAATTTTCTTCATCGGAACTGCAGCAGATGCTCTGAATTAGCAAATCTTTTGCTTCAGATTGGGCATAAAGAAGTGAATTAAGTCACCCATCCTTGGGTACTAAACCAATACTTTCAAGAACCCAGGGAGGTCTGGGGCGAGCCAGGATGAACGTAACCATCACCCCCTCCTGATAGGCAACCAGCAGTGGCCGATGGGAGTGGGAGTCAAGCACACAGAGTCCCTCATAGCCCCCTAACTGCTGTGGCCTAGGGCTGCCTTAGCAGAGCTTCACTGGGCTCCTTGTCTCTAGGCATCACACTCTGCTCTGTAAAAAGCAGCTTATCTAATCCTGCTGCGGAAGCTGTATTAGATTTTTGGCCATGAGTCAATATTGAACCTATAATCCAAAAGAACAGAGTGTGTTTAAAGTTTCTCTTCGAGAGAGAGAGAGAGAGAAAAGCAAGAATGAGAACCACAGGAGAAAAAAATGTTAGTTTTGAATAGCAGTGGTTCTCAACCTGTGGGTCACACCCCTTTGAGATCAAATAACCCTTTCACAGAGGTTGCATAACAAATATCCTGCATACCTGATATTTACACTACAGTTCATAACAGTAGCAGAACTACTGTTATAGAGTCATAAAAAATTATTTTACAGTTAGGGGTCACCACAACATGAAAAACCATACTAATGGGTCTCAGCCTTCAGAAGGTTGAGAGCCACTGCTGCAGAACCTATAGCAGCCTCAGAGAAAGACTTATCTGATTGCACGCTCATGGTCAGTCTCAAGACACAGATTTCCAGAGTAAACTGAGAGGGGACCAAATCAACTTCTTGTGAGTTGATTCTGTAAGGATGCTCCTCCTGAGACCTTTAAGAGAAAGCACTTCCTAAGTTGTCTCAGATCTGGGTTTTCCCTTTGTTTGCTTTTATCATGGCACCCTGCAGACCTGATTCATTTTGGAGATTTTTTCTGTGAAGTTTCACTTTAAAAAACAAGCAAAGGTACCTCTGCTATTCTTAAGTAGAGTGAAACCGTAATCTCATTTCCTTTCTTGTATGATGTTTATTGCACATGAGCACCACTTGTCATGGGATGGCATGACCATGTGAGGTCAAAGGACAACTTATAGGAGTCAGTTGTTTTCTTCTGCAGTGGGGGTGCCCAGGGAGTCAACTGTGGCCGTCAGCAAATGCCTTTACCCACAGATCCATCTTACTGACCCCACTTTATTGTATTTTAATGGCTTTGTGACATGTGCTTCTTGCTAGCATTACTTTGTGTTGTAACCCCCGGCTAGTATAATTAAAGATGATCATTTTACATGAAGACATTCTACAATTCGTTCCTGAGTTTTAATCATTGTAAAAACATTGAATAGAATGAGTGTTGTGCTGCTAATTATCCGGGAAGGAGGTCCTCATACTGACTGAACATTTTCATCTGTTGTTGTATATACATTCTTAAGGTATGGTAGAAGCTGTACGTACAGATTTGAGCAAAAGAGATACATTTGTGATGTAATTAAAATTAACTAAGAAAAGGGAATGTTTATGTTGTTTCCAGTAAGACATTCAACAGCTGGTCACTCATCACTTCCATCAGCAGACTTCATTATAACAAAATTATTTTGTCACTAGTGTGTCATTATTTGCCACCCTTGTTCAGGAGTGTCAGGAACTATTTCTAAGGCCATGGCAATTCATTTTCCTTCATGTTGGTATGTTTTCCTCTACCACTTGTCTGCTGTCCTGCTGGCCTGGCTGTTGTTGCCCGTTGGGGAGTTAGCAGCAAATGTAGAGTGCAGTAGGCTAGGTGTACATGAAGTATATACAGGAAGTAGATGAGAACTCACCCCAAAAGTGGCCGCATGCTGTCATTCATTGTTTGGTAGCATCTCTATTTCGTAATGAGCTCTTCTACCAGTAAGTTTATTAGAGTGTGTCTTTAATGGAAAGGTAAGTGCCACATCTACATTTCTCTAGAGAGGCAATGATGAACAGATGACTTGAAATGAGTCTGTTGACATTTACTGTCCACTGTGAAGGCAAAGCAGCACCACTGGCCGAATGAAACAAGTCTGCTTAAAGAATCACTTACCATTTACTTCAAAGCTTAGAAGCTATTTTAGTGAGATTTGTGGCTCAAAGCCAGATGTTTGTCACATGCGGCTGAAGAAAATGCATTTAACATCACTGTGTGAAGCATGGCTTGTCATCAACATGGAGTGACTAATGTTCTAAATTAATGTTATTCACTATTCAACTGCAAGTGTCCTTATGCTTGTGAATGTTTTTGGTGATTTGTTATTAAAAATAAAATTAGCAACAGGAAACTTTTAATAATCTGAAACATGGACAGATTATTGATCTTAATAATGCACAAGATGAATTCTTTGTATATACTTTGGATGTCTTGTGGCAAGAATCTTCTGGTGGCTTTCTTCGTTTTAATCGGACATGAGTATATTCTAGAGTAGAATGGAACGAAACTGCACTCCTAATTTCGTTGAATCTACACTTAGTAAAATAAAAATAATAGAAATAACTTGTTTGAATTTTTGTGTTTGCTGAAGTTGCTGAGTAGAAAGTCTATGAAGGGCTACAATAGTCCCGTTTTCCATGTGAACTAGAATTAAGAGTGACCTCCAATTAGCAGAATTTGCTCTGAGATCTAGTGTTACTAGAACAGCTCTAGATAAAATATAATGTAGTCCAAAAAGGTTTTTTTTAACATGAAGCTTACAGGAAGTTTTATGAAAAACAGCTTTAAACCAGGGCTAACACAGGATCAGAAACAAATGTGTCCATAAAGCTGATTGGTAGATGAGTGTACACTACAATTACTGTAGTGTGAAGATTTTTAAAGTTTGGTTAAAACCTTAATTTACACAAATATGGTATCCCAACTCAGCTGCCAAACTGAATTTTCCATGTTTAAGACCACTTTTGGGGGCTGGAGCTCTTCCCACGGACTGACAGCACTGGCTGCTCTTCCCACATTTGAGTCCTAGTACCCACGTAGCAGCTCACACCTACCTATCTGGGACTCTAGTCTCAGAATTTGACACCTACTTCTGGCCTCGAAAAGCACTATATGCATGTGGTGCACATGAAAACACACCAGCTGCTGGGTGGTGGTGGTGCAGGAGTCAGAGGCAGGCGGGTTTCTAAGTTCAAAGCCAGCCTGGTCTTACGGTGTGAGTTACAGGACAGCCAGGGCTACTCAAAGAAACCCTGTCTCAAGGAATCAATCCGTAAATAAGTAATAAAAACACGCAGGCAAACGACTCACACACATCGAAAATAAAATGAAAACAGTAAGCAAAGACTGTGAACTTCTGGATCGTGGTAGCTTGCAGATTAAAAATTTGTTGACATTATTTGTACCTCCCTGTAGTTAACTGAATGAACAAAAGAAGAATAAGTGGAGAAGCCCCACAGCAGCTGATCCAGGGAATATGATGGGCTAGTGAAGTAACCATCGCTTTTGGCCACAGTGGAAAGAGACGAGTGCTGACAGTTTCCAGTGTAGTAGTGTCTATTTCCGAGGACTTGGGGTCCTTTTTCAGGATTCCTAAAGCAGCCTGTGACAAAAAAAGATGTCCATCCCCAGCAGCATTTCAGCACAGACATTTTCAGAAATAAAATGTTGAGGGAACATTTCACTAATAAGCCTTTTGAGGCCTGTTGGGGTGGGGAGGCGCTTAATAAAATGCAAACATGGAAGAGCTGACTCAGCCAAGGAACAGAGAGTCAAGGCAAGGTGGTTGTGATGAGGTCTGGGTCCATACACATAGAGAACTAACTGTAAACAACTAAGAGAATGGCTGATTCTGGCAGAACCAAAGTGTTGCAGACCGGGACACAGGAGGAATGACTCGCAGCAGAAAGTACAAGGGAAAATAGAAGGAGAGCAGCAGCTTCTACAGAGCCTTCCCCAACCAACCCTTCATGTGCACATGAATACATACCCAGAGGCCATAAAACTTGCAAGAAAGAATCTTAGCGCCATGGTCCTATAGTTTAAGTAATTTTTTTATCCATTTTTCTGCTGAAAAAGGGAAAATCCGATAGTCAGTTATTTTACTCAAAAGACCTACAGTTTTAAAACTAAACTTTTCACATTCTCGAATCATTCTTCAGAGATGTAAAACAGAATTGTTGACTTGTTTGCTTTCTGCTGTTCTATCCTCAAGCCTGGTCCTTAGTTACAGATGATCTGTCCGCAGGCAGCTCAGAGCACTTAATAATTTATAGGGTTTTACTGTGTGCTTCATCTCAGCAGTCAGGCGTTGAGGTCTCGGGGTCTGCATCAAATCCCCGGGCACAGCCTGTTTGCAGACGCCCCTAGATGAACTGTGTGCACAGTCAGTGGCGCTTCCTGTTGCTGTGGGGCTGGTAGAATTGCTGCTGGAGGAGGGGGAGGACAAGAGCCTGTCTGCAAGGAGTGGCTGCCAAGGCCTTTGAAGACCTTTGCCAACATGAAAAGAAATCTTACAGAGATTCTGGTCCTCTGCATTTCCTCCTGACTGTGGCCCAGCCGGGGAGGATTACACAGTAATGCTATTGGCTTTTATCTTGGACCTCCAAAACATTCCGAATCTTGTCTCCTCAGAGAAACAATATTGAAACTCTAAATTTGGTTAGACATCTTTTGGAAATCCTTGTAGGTTGCGTCTGGTTGAGGTGGTATGTCTGACCTTGCCGTAATAGGAGTCTCTGCTTTCTGCGTTCCAGAGTTACCGCTCCCGTCACAAAGTGTCGATGTTATTATTTCTGACATTCCATTTGGGAAAAAATTTAAGTTAGGAAAAGACATCAAAAGCATTCTACAAGAAATGGAAAGGTAAGTCGTTGAATTTATTTCCATAATATTCTAGCTACAGGCCATTTAGTTAAAATACATCATTGCCCTTAAGTCTGTTTGCAGTGGAATAATTTCCCAAAAGTTTGACATCTAATTTTCCAACAGTTAGAAGTTTATAATTGAAATACATTTTCTGTCTCTGCTTCTATCATTAATTTTGTAAGAAAAATAATGACTTTTGTTTCAGTCACCGGGTTGGGTAATTTAGATATCTGTTTCTCATCCCCACAAAGCCCTGCATCCCTGTGTCAAACCCTTTTACAGATGAGAAACTGGGGCCCAGGAAGGTGAGCCTGTGCCTGACCAGAGAGCTGCTGAACCACAGAGCAGAATGGCAGGGGTGACCATTGCCAGCCTGAGATGAAAGTGCAGACTATTGTTCATACTCTCCACTGTTGACCTCAGGGTGTCACTTAACACAAGTTTTTTGTTTTGTTTTTGTTTTTGTTTTTAGATGTTCAATCAGTAAGGCCTAGATAAACATTTTCCAGTCATGTATGTTGATGAATGATAAACAGACAAAACTAAGGGATCAATCAGTGATAATTTACGTCAGCTGGATATTTAATGGACCAGGACATGAGTGTCAGGAGCCTGGTGTAGGAGGAATGTGTCTCCGGGGGTAAAGCTGAGCATATATTTGGGAAAGAGGAAACCCAGTGTCGAGGCTGACATTCCACCTTAAAGGAGTCAAAGCCTGGCCCTCAGCCTACACCCACCTGTTAGCCATCTCACTGCATCTTGCCAGCTGCGTGTGTCGTGTCTCTCACCTGCGGTTGCTTGTGTATGTGTTTGTGCGGCACACGTGAGAGGAGGCGGGAGTCTCTGGTGGGTGTCTCTAGCTCTCACGCCACTCCATTTTTGAGACAAATTCTCTGATCAGGGGGTTCACAGACATGGCTAGACTGTGACCAGCAAGCTCCAGAGATCTTTCTCATCACCGTCCCCCATGCTGGGACCGGGGGCACAGGCTGCCGCACTGTCCTTCTACGGGAGCGCTGGGGTTTGGCCTTAGGTCCTCGTGTCTCCCTGCCCCAGCCTGAGCACAGGTGCAGTACAGCATACCACATGTGCAGTCCCAGTGGCCTGTGCGAGGTGGGCGTAGAGAGCAACAGCTGGCTCTGAGTGCCATGTGCGTGCTCCGTGGCATGCAGCACACAAAAACAAATAATTGACGTAAATAAATGTGAAAGCCACTCCCTGCTGCTGGGTCCCTAGCTGTGCCCTGCTGGAAGCACATTTTACAGCCCTGACTTCATATTGAAGTCATGGCAGGAACATGTTTAAACTATTGCCCATTCCCCACCACTCTCTGCAGCTCTAATTTACCTGGGGCTCTAACATACCTGGGGCTGGGCCAGGGTATGTTTCTTAAAAGCTGCCACGTGACTCTGTTGTACTGCCCAGCTCGTAAGCACAGCCTGTGCACCTAACTGAGTTGCTCACTATCCATTAACCAGTTCATGGGGAGATAATAGAATGTGTGAGCGGTGGCACACATTTAAACTGGAACTTTGCAGAGAGATGACGACTTGACTGAAGATCTAGCATTTTCTATTTTAGACATGTCTGTGAGTCGTGGGAGGTAGGGTTGCAGACAGCACCTGCAGCAGGTGGTAGTTTCTCTGGAAGTGAGACAATGATGGATGAGCCTGCCTGCCCACTGTCAGTAAATTTAAACATTTACCACAGAGTCAGGAAGATGAATATTCAAGATTTCCTGCCTGGTTAAGAATGCCTCAGGTCTAGTTCAAAGTGTAGACATTTTAATACGGGGCCAGGAGGCTCTTTCTTTGCCCCAGCTTTCTTGCTACCTGCCGCCAGCTGTTACGACCTGACTTGCTTGGTTCCAGGTTCACACAACGTAGCACAGTGACTAAGGGCACAGCCATGGAAACCAGGTGATGGGATCCAGTCTTGGCTGTCACTCGCAATTCCTCAGGCATAAGCAGACTGCCTGACCTTGACATCCCTAACTTTTCTATCATGACACATGCATTCAAGTATTGTCCAGAGGATTCCGTGGATCTAAAGCTTTCAGAACAGTTCTTGGCACTAGGCGGCACGCAGCGTCTTAGCTCCTACCCAAAGTTTCTGGCATAAGTCACTTCCTGGAAAGTATGTGGGGATATATATTCACAGTTAAATACATAAGCTTTTCTCCCAATAATTCACTGGTGTTTATGGATCTAGACATCTAGAAATCAAAAGAGGAGACTTGGGTTACTAAAATTAAGGAGAAAATAAGTGCTTAGTAAACGTATTCATAATGTCTGTGTGCCATACAGAATGGGGTTCCCGAGAAGGAGTATAGATTGTGATCAGATTGTCAAAGGATGGCATGAGCTGTGCATTTAACCGTGTCGTCAGGACGGAGCACAGTCAGGAACTTGATGGAGCTTTCTTCTCAACTATTTCCAGATAAAATACATGAGCAAGATTTGAAATGCACCTTGCTCATCTTGAAGGAACAAGAAAGCTCTGTGTGTTGAAGAGGCCTGGAGTTGAAGAGAGCTTCCAGTAAGATTTGGAAGTTGTGAAAGACTTTTTTAAGGGGGCAGGGGTTTTCTGTTTGTTTGATTGGTTGCTGCTATTGTTGTTTGGCGTTTTTTTGTTTGTTTTTCAAGTCAGGGTTTCTTTGTGTATCCTTGGCTGTCCTAGACATGTCTTGTAGACCAGATTGGCCTTGAACTCACAGGGATCCTCCTGCCTCTGCCTCCCCAAGTGCTGGGATTAAAGGCATGCGCCACTGCAAGGGCTATATTTTTATACATACCAGTATTCAGAAAGTAATGAAGCAGCAAAGGTACTCAAGGACGAGTGAGTATGCTAGTCCTGAGGCAGAAGGCGGCAGCATGCGGTGTCATGGCTAAGACTTAATGTGCTCTGTGGTCAAGTAATGGAATTATCGAACCATCTAGCCCTAGTCTCCAGGATCACATGCAGAAGAAAAATATTTTCTATGGTTTGTTTACAGAGTTTTCTCTCACTTTTAATAACAAAACATTTTAAAGACATTACCATCAATATCAAGAACCAAAATACTGCTGCTATTCAGGGGAATCATTTTGAGCAACATTATAATTTCTGAATAGCCTTTTATAGGAAATTCTGTGAACATGTCCATGGAAAGAGACCTAGAAGAACACTCATCAGAGAAGTTTGGGTCATCTGCTCTCCTTTATCTTCTCCATTATTTAAAAACAGAACAATAAATAAGTCATCAAATGTTGAGTAAATATCATGCCTTGCACATGTGCTTAAAGAGGGAGATGGTTACCCACTCAGTAAATATTAGCTGTCGTCACCATTATCGAGCTGTTCTCTGCTGCTGCTGCTGCTGCTGCTGCTGCTGCTGCTGCTGCTGCTGCTGCTG